AATTTAATAGGTCAACTGAAGGAAGCCAGATATCCGTACCAGTTTAATTATTTTCCATTCCTTTGTTATACTTTTTGTCCTTTCTGTTCATTCAGTGGATCAAGTTGTTCCAAGTGGGTGAACTGTACTATTACCTCTATGCTTTGCAACCAATTTCTAGAGAATAGGGAGAGTACAGAAGGACAGTTAAGCGTATGCCCCTTCTGTGAGCAATTTGCAGTTTAATTTTTGTGCCATTCCAGTAGCCAGACTCCTGCAACAAATAAATTCGATGACTTCTCATGGGCTTTTCCTGCAGATCTGCATCTGACCACTCAGTGGCGCAGTATGTTAATGCTTCACTCTGCTCAAGTGGAGACTGGCTCACTTGTCCCACATCTTCTTCAAATTAAACTCACCAATGGTCCAAATCACTCCTGAAATATTATTCAAATGGTCAAAAAAATTGTAAAAAGATCATTTTACTATATAACTGTTTACTTCCTTCAAAATTGAAACCCAATATAAGCCATCTAGTGATGCAATCCCTGTAATGGGGATTACAGAACATAGAACATTACAGCGCAGTACAGGCCCTTCGGCCCTCGATGTTGCGCCGACCTGTGAAACCAATCTGAAGCCCATCTAACCTAAACTATTCCATTATCATCCATATGTTTATCCAATGACCATTTAAATGCCCTTAAAGTGGGCGAGTCTACTATTTTTGCAGGCAGGGCATTCCACGCCCTTACTACTCTCTGAGTAAAGAACCTACCTCTGACATCTGTCCTATATCTATCACCCCTCAACTTAAAGCTATGTCCCCTCGTGCTAGCCATCACCATCCGAGGAAAAAGGCTCCCACTGTCCACCCTATCTAATCCTCTGATCATCTTGTATGTCTCTATCAAGTCACCTCTTAACCTTCTTCTCTCTAACGAAAACAGCCTCAAGACCCTCAGCCTTTCCTCATAAGACCTTCCCTCCATACTAGGCAATATCCTGGAAAATCTCCTCTGCACCCTTTCCAATGCTTCCACATCCTTCCTATAATGCGGTGACCAGAACTGTACGTAATACTCCAAGTGCGGCCGCACCAGAGTTTTGTACAGAAGAAGCCCATGTTTGAAGCATTTTGATTCTAAATCACCCAAATTTTAGTAAATGCATGATTAGAACCCATACTGGACAGCTTCGAAATAGCAGCAGTTCAATCAAAACCCAGCAGTATTTCAGCATGTGAAAAATAAATTTTTATTTAAGGAAGCTATTTATTTTGATTTGTAAATTAGAATTAGGTACCATGATTGAAGCAAGTGTCCTGATTTACACTACTCTTCCTGTCTTCAATTTCTCAAATAATTGGACAGTGTAGTAATGATGAATAACTATTTCTTGAACAAATACAGAACAATATGGATAGAATGATACAGCACAGAAGGACATTATTTGACTTATTTGTGTCAAATTTGTGGTAGAGATTGTACCTCCCTAATCCAGCAATCTGTGGTCTTCTGCTCGCCCAGTTTAAAAGTCACTATTTAGGTTGAGGTCATGGCGTCCACATGTGCAGACTGTGCTCGCAAAACATTTATTTTTCTGTTCTGAAATAATAGATTCTAGTCATTGTGCCCTTCGGTACAAAGACTTATTTTGTTGTTTATAGCTGGGTGTGGGAGACACAAGAAAATGAAATTCTCAGCCACACATGGGAACAAATGCTTTTGGTGCTGATGAGAAGCTCCCATACTGATCTTGATACGTGACTTCTTAAGGTCTGGCAAATTCAGCCGGCTAGCAAAACCCCTGTCCCAAGGCTGCTGGATGACAGAGATACAACCTTTAGAAATATTCAATCATTCCCATTCCCCTGGACTTTTAATGTAACAAAAGACAATTATCTCATGGCCTTATCACAGCTTCTCTGAGCAACTGTCTGCATCTGTACTTTCTGCATTTCATTATCTCCCACCAGTAGAAACAATTGATCAGGTGGTGGTTTCATGAAAATTTTAAGGTATTCTATACGTAGCTGTACTAGATTTGTCACCAGGAGTGCAGTAAATTGACACATTGTTCTACTGTCACGGCATTGCTGCCCTCACTCACACAAAATTTGTTTCATGAACTTTCAATACTGTAAGCTCCAAGATTGGGGGAGGCGATGACCGAGTGGTATTATCGCTGGACTGTTAATTCCAGAGACCCAGATAATGTTCTGGACCCAGGTTCGAATCCCACCATGGCAGATGGTGGAATTTGAATTCAATAAAATATCTGGAATTAAGAATCTAATGATGACTGTGAATCCATTGTCAATTGTCATGAAAAACCCATCTGGTTCACCAATGTCCTTTAGGGAAGGAAACTGCCACCCTTACCTAGTCTGGCCTACATGTGACTCCAGACCCACAGCAATGTGGTTGACTCTTAACTGCCCTCTGGGTAATTAGGGACAGACAATAAATGATGCCTAGCCAGCGATGCCCTCATCCTGTGAATGAATAAAGAAAAGAAAAATTGTACATTACGTGGATTACGAGTATTCTCATTGTAAAACAAACTGTTTTTACCTTGAACTGGGACTGAAAAGATTTAAGTAATAGTAATAAGATGGGTTTTGTATTGAGTAAATGCCAAGTTGATATCTAAAATGAAAAAAAAATTGTTTTGCCTGTTTCATTCAGATTTTACAGAGACCAATGGAAAAAGACAAGCACTTCAGTTTCTGAGTGCACTTCTCATAAAATTTTTCCCTATCTCTTTTTTCTGAGTTCTGCTCCTAAACTTAGAATTATAGAATCCTTACAATGTGGAAGTAGGCTATTTGGCCTATGTAATTCACACCGACCCTCCGAAGAGCATCTCATCCAAATCCACACCCCTACCCTATCCCTGTAACCCTGCATTTCCCACGGTCAATCCACCTACCCTGCATATCCCTGGACACTATGGGCAATTTAGCGTGGCCAGTCCACCTAACCTGCACATTGTTGACACAAAAACAAAGTTGCTGGAAAAGCTCAGCAGGTCTGGCAGCATCAGGAGGAGAAAACAGAGTTAACGTTTCGGGTCCGGTGACCCTTCCGCTGCACATTGTTGAACTGTGGGAGGAAACCAGAGCACCCAGAGGGAACCCATGTAGACACGGGAGAATGTGCAAACTCCACGCACCCCAAGGGTGGAATCAAACCTGGGTCCTTGGTGCTGTGAGGCGCTATGATTCTAAGTTTATTCTATGATTCTAAACTTCTCCAATGCAACAGCAAAACTCCAACTGACCATTAACAGTGACACTGACATTGTGTAGTATTTTGTTAGTATGTCCTATACACTTCCTTCCCAGCATCACTGATTATCCATTCCTCTTATTTTGTTTCACTATTAGTGTTCTAACATCAGTAATTTTTATTTCTTAATTGAGCACATTAACCATCTTAGATCCAGGTATGACTGCAATCATGGGCTGAATTACTTCAAAGGATTGGCCATTATTTAGGCTTCATCAGTAAATGCATGGAGTGTAAGGGAACCTCACATTGCCTCTGGTGCCAAAATACTAGTCCTGCTGGGGTCTGTGGAGTTAATGAGAGTATCTCATTAACAACATTACCTGATAGTTCAAGCTCCATTTGGGCAAACACCCATTGTCCCTGATAAAGGGAACTCAGTTGCATGGCTGAAACAAACCTTGAATACTCAAGAATATAGGCTGATTGTTTTGGTTCCCACTATTGAGACTAATGCCGGTTTTAGTGAATGCCTGTGCACTTCTATTCACTTAGTGTACCAGCATTAATACAATGTTGGAACCTGGTTGAAGAACGGAAGTGGGGATTCTTTGCTTGGGATGTCAGTCCCTGGCCTGGACCCTTGCTCAATATTAAATCTGTAAAGGCCAGACAGAAATTCTGCCGCTAATCGGATGGAGATGAAGATCCAGCAAAAATTGTAGATGCTATTTTTGTGGAGATTCTGCTTGAGGTCCGATGCGAGACCTGGAAAGCCCCTGAAGAATTTTAAAGCTCTAGTTTTGAAAGTAATAGAGGGTCAGAAAAACAATGACTGTGTTTAAATTTTGAAATGTGATCTACGTCATAAAGTCTATTATTTAGCTACTGCCAAGGGAAAGTATTTCTAATGCAAGTAGGAGTCAAAGAGCCAAATTGCAACATCAAATGATATGAGGCCAGTGTATGTGTTGACATATTTAGGCCAAAGTTTTATTGCACTACAATCATTTAGCATTGGATAAAATCATAGATGGAGGAAGAAGAAAAATAGAACACTGCTGTCTACTCCAGATCTTGACTCCAAAAACGCTAACCAATATTTTTCTTCTCTCTTACCTCCCCAGCAGGAAGCTCGCTTGCCTGACCTTTCATCATCCTGTTTTTATTGTAAAAATAGTGGGAGTGGTCAGGGAAACAATGGATTTCCCTACCATTTGGGTTGAAGTGACAGCTACCATGGCTGCTAGTAGATAGTGGGACATGAGAGAGTACTGGAATGAAAGCTATCAATAGACAACGAGGTAGAGCACTGAAGACGTGCTGCCTCATCCACTTTTTTTTTGCCTTATTGTGTGATCTAGAAGCAACATTTGTGGAGGAAAAACCTTTACTGAAAGTTTTGAACCAAAGTTACATCTGTGCCATTTCTGTTTCCAAGAATGCTGCCACCTCCAGTTCTGGTGTGACAATGACTGATCTACTGAAGCATTTCTACAGATCCCATCAGAGCATTTGTCACAAATTTCACTGCCACCAGGAGAATATCCTGCATTTTTAAAGAACCCTGTCCTCGGAAGCTAGTTCAGGACATTGCAGTCAGCAGAACATGTATGATGACCCAATAAAGCTATGTTGGAGGCCAGTCTAGTTACCAGAATAAAGTAAACTTAAAATGTGAAAATCTGGAGTAGTAAATCTCTAAGTAAAGCACACCAACCATTATTATATGCTCAGTTGGCATATTTAATTAATGTTGATATTAATGCCTATACTGTTTCTCAACAGAATGAATTTGAATTGAAACTTTTCCATGTACGTGGGGAACATGCTGAAGAAATAACTAAACTTGAAGAAACCATTGCACAACTTCAGAATAAATTGGAAAATAAATTAAAAGAAGGAAAGTCTGAAACAAGGGACATTGCTGTTTCTACTGCAGATGAACTTGTGTCAAAAACATTTCGCAATGTTTGCATTCAGACTGACCGAGAAACGTTCATACAGTTGAATCAAGATGATAGCAAGACAGGTAAAAGTAATCTGAGCACCCCAGGAAAGCTGAACCTTGCATCCTTGACCTTGAATGGTCAGTCAGCTTGCTGTCTACATGCTATAAAGGAGGAAGCTTTACCGTCTTCACAAATCGCATCATCACAAGAATCTCAGCTTGCATCACTTCCTTCATTGCCACCATCAGTTGCAAAGGTATCTCAAGGTTCTCCTACTCCACTCCCAGGTTGTCCACCAGCTCCAGCTCCAACTCCACCTCCACCACCACCACCACCACCACCACCACCACCACCTCTTCCAGGCTCTGGACCTCCACCACCACCACCTCTTCCAGCCTCTGGACCTCCACCTCCGCCTCCTCTCCCAGGTTCTGGACCCCCGCCTCCGCCACCTCTCCCAGGCTCTGGACCCCCGCCTCCGCCACCTCTCCCAGGCTCTGGACCGCCTCCACCCCCACCGTTTGGAGTTCCTAATCTCAATTTGTCAACGGACAGACCTGCACGGAAGCCTATCATAGAACCACGCCGCCCAATGAAGCCTCTATATTGGACAAGGATCCAGATAAAAGATTCCAGGTACCATAAATAAATGCTGATGTTGTCAGCATGTACGTTTCTGTTTATGTTTTGGGTGCTGTTACCTTCCTGAAATAAATTAGACCTCTGCATTTACAATGACATTACACAAATTGGCTAAATTCACTCAATACCATGTTATGATAAAAGGGAAAGGATAAACTATGTCCGTCACCATCTCAGTGATTTCTAACAGTAGCGATCATCCTCCTGTTTTAGAAACTAACCCATGAACTTCACAGATTGAAATTGAATGGGTTCTGTATTTCGTAAGTCCTTTGCTTTGTCACCTTACTGACCGTGACAACAGAAATTTGCTCTTTAATAAACAGATTAGTGGAAGTTGAAAAAACGTTTGCAAAATTTTATTCTTTAATTTTAAACCAATGATCTAACAGCAATAAATCAAACAACATTTGTTTACTGGCTTTGCTCTTATTGTTTAAGTGTTAACTAGTTGTTTTTCACTGTAATATAGAGTTCAAATTTTGTCAAAACAGTGTTAAATTTTATTAACTCCAGACTAACTCTAATGCCAAGGGTATTAACTATGATTACATGTTTGAGTGACTAGACAAAAAGACATGAGCACAATTCTGATATAGAACACTTTAATTGTACCCTGTTACTTTTTACCTATAATGTTAATACAATAACATAAGCAATGATTTGAGGCATTTTAAGCAGTAAATACGAGGGAATTTTGAAAGCAAATTGGATTCCCCTAACCCGGCTGCTGCTTATGCCTTCTGGAAGTAATCACAATTCCCTCCTTGCAGTGGCGACAGTAGTATTTTGAAATTAGGCTGATTTGGCCTTTTGCCATTTTAAGTCAAGACTGTGCCTTATTCCTGTCAGTCTCTCATCTCTGAAGGCTAATGTGTACTTTACAACCTAAATCACTGTCAAGTTATCAAATCTCTTTGCCTTTTTGTAGTACCCTAAATCCTGTAACTTTTGATGTTACTTTTCAATTCATGGCATTTTTGTAATCATTTAAGTTGTTCATGATGGTAAACTTTAATTATACTGGCTTAATCTCAGTTTTTTTTTCTCAGATTCTGTTTTTCTAATTGCTCCAACTTCTGCTTAAATAGTGCCAAAAAGATGGATTGTCGGAGGGCATTTGTCATCTGGACACTAATATGAGAATCACTGCCAGTGTTTACTTGTCAGAGTATCGAACATACTTCTCAGTTATATCAGTACTACAGCAGAGTGGGAAAACTAATTTAAAAAAGGATTATTGAGAACCTGCACTTCCTCCTACTCCATTTTCATTGAAAAAAAGCCCAAAGAACGGTGGATGTTGGAAATCAGAAACAAAATCAGAAATTTCTGGAAAAACTCAGCAGGCATGGCAGCATCTGAGGGTAGAAAACAGAGTTAATGTTTTGAGTTCAATGACCCTTTTCAGAGGATCACTGGACCCGAACATTAACTCTGTTTTCTCTTCACAGATGCTGCCAAACCTGCTGAGTTTTTCCAGCAATTTCTGATTTGTTTCCCATTTTAATTAAGTTAAAGTTTGTAACATAATAGAATCATAATTTGTATACAGGTTAATTTTCTCCTTTCTTTCGTGGCTAAACAGTGTAGACAGCAATATATTATTTACTTTCTTTGTCCAAATATAGGGCAAGTGGGGCATTTGAGTTCTGACAGAGGGGAGTAATATTAACTTTGTTGGGAATTAAAAAGAAGTAATGTACTGCAGATGCTGAAAATAGTCTTAGTATCATAGTAGCATGGAAACAGACCCTTAGGTCCAACTAGTCCACACTGACCATGTTCCCAAACTAAACTAGTCCCACTTGCCAATCTTAAATAAAAACAAAGTGTTGCAAGTACTTATCAGGCCAACAGTATCTGTGGAGAGAGAGAGAGACAGAATGAATGCTTTCTGTCTCCAAAGATGCTGCTAGACCCACTGATCATTTATAGCAATTTTTTTTATTCCTTGGACATTGTTTAACTATTCTGAGAGGAAAGGATATGGAGTCGACATAAATACTTTCTGCTGCCTGCTCAAAGGAAGAAGCTCCATAAATATTAGGACATTGTAGATGGATGAATTCAGAGTAATAATATTTGTAACGGCGCCATAGTTAAATGGTTAGCAAAATATGTCTGGGACAATCTTTTGCTTATTTGCTGGAAATTTACAATTAAGTAAAATACGATGGAATGTAATTGGAACACATTAGCAGTCTATTCAGTTGTCTTTCAGTTATTCATAGATTCTGTATCCCTTCAAAATTTTATGTGAAATTTTATGTTGATAATCTGATTTTCATGAAGATCACTGCCAAGCAGTTTAAGGATCCTCTGTGTTGGCCTGAAATCAGGTAAGCTACAAAAGTAAGAGAATTTTAATTTAACTAATTAGTAAATTGATGCCCTTCTTTTCAACTTTCATCACAATGTGCCAGCAGCAGGAGATGCACATACTGAAGCAGTGATTATATTCGAATGCATGATAATCCCACTCAATCCTCCCTGCCTTTACCTACATGATATGTTTCTTCTTTTTTTTATTTCATCTTCCTGTGTCAGCATTTCAGTGCAGAGTTTCAGAATTTTAAGTGTGTATTACGAGTGTAATTTGGGTACAATTTGTGCAAAACATTCCCATGGGACAATTACTCCTTTCAACAAAGTGTTCCACTCAGTTCAAAAATAGTTACCTAAATCCAATACTGAGGAATAGATTATATGAAATAATATCTGCATCATTTTTATTCAATAAAATTTGAAGATAGTCAATAATTTCAAGGTCTGATCTCCACATAATATAATCTCATCTCTATATGCAAATTGCAACAGTTAACAGCAATGAAGATTGATTTAATAAGTGGGAAAATAGCTGTATCCTGCCTGAGGACTTTAGAAAGACAACTTTACATTCAGTTTTTTATTAGTCCACTGAATATATAATTACTGATTGCTTACGAGCTAATGGAAGTCTAACATTTCAATTTATTATGCAACATTAACATTTCAGATGGAAGATAATTTGATAAACTACAATATAGAACCTGCTGTCCTTGTCATAACTTCCATCGTTCTCTCTAATACACAGCAGACCACTTTACATGCACTTTTTCAAGGACAGTATATATTAAAAATATGTATTTGATCTATTTCAAAAATGGCTTTTATCTTATTCATTTGGAAACAAAGATTTTTATCATAGTTTGGTTACCAAAGGACTTGTACTAACCTTGCTAATAGCATATTAACAGGTCCTCGAAGCATGGGCTACATATAGGAATTTTTAGAAAAAAAGAAAACATTTAATGTTATTGCCGCATGTTTTAGTGGGAAGAAATGTGTTTAACAATTGTTTTATGGTTCGAGCTCCCTAATCACAAAATAACTACTGGGTGGTATAAGAAAGTAGATAGCCCAAGGTCCAAGTTATAACAGGACGCTGGGCTACAAGAGTAACCTACTTAACATATAATTACAATTTAAAAACCTCGGCTGACTAAAATGGATTCAGTCAATAGGTGAATTCACATATAGTTGATATATTTTTGCTAAGAGCTGAACGATAGCTAGTAATATTGGACATGATGTTAATGTGCTTGAGAACAGACTTTGCTGTATTCATGCTGACAAATATTTGCAACAAATACGATGCTAAGTTGAGTTATTTTGCATTTTTTTGTTTCGTACAAAATTTGGATTGCAAACATTCTGGTCAGCACGAATATTTGAGAAAGGCTTTCGCTTCCAGTCTTGGCTAAAGTCTACTTAAAATAATCCATGTGATTTTCTGTGGTTTACTGCAGGATTGCTTTTTCCTTAATACCCCCCAAGACATGTTGCTTCAAGTTGCCCAACACTGCTTCAGCCCACCCAGTCCTCCTTGTTCCACTTTTGATCTGCGCTCAAGATGTATCCATAGCTCTACAGGCACCAGTCTGCATTAGAGTAGGAAACCTCAGGCTGAACTTAGGTTTCTCATTGAGTCAAGAATGGAGTTCAGCAACAGTTAATAGCCAGCACTTGCACTTGCAGTCTTGCACATTTTTATGGCCTTTATAAATTGAATGAATGCATGATGACAGGCTTGTTGCCAACTATCAGTTCATCCTATACATCAGTAAGTGACCTTGCAATATGCAGCTGGGTTGTGTTAAGATGATTTGTTTTCTAAAGTCTTTTCAAGATGCCAAAGTGTTAGCGGATTCAGTTGAAACGCCAACATTGTGTGCTTTGATAGAGTATCAGCTTATATGGAAACAATGAAAGAGTTTCAGGGTTTTTAATAGACAGCCAGAAACACATAGTCTGTTAGAAGATAACAATTTACAGTATGCCCAGTGTGTTATCTAAGTGTGTACAGTGTTATAGGAGTGCACCGTAACTGTTACATTCAGATTGATATGTTTTCACGCCTTGAGGTTACTATACACACTGTTGCCTCTGATCTCCAGCATCTGCAAGGCATCTTGTATTCCATAATGTGACAATCTGATAATTGAAAGCAATGCTGCCAACTAACAAAATAAATATCATTTTATTTAGTTGTTGTACTTCTATGTAAGTATGATGGATTTATTTCAAATATTAGAGCTATGTTTATGATTCTTCTATTATTCATTCATAGATGTAGACGTCACTCAAGCCAGCATTTATTGTTCGCCCTAATTACCCAGAGCGCAGTTTAGAGTCAGTCACATTACTTTGGGACTAGAGTCATATGTAGGCCAGACCAGGGAAAAATGGCAGTTTTCTTCCCTGAAGGATCAGATGGGATTTTCCAACAATCAACAGGTAGGGGAAATTGGAAAGTTCCCCAACCCCATGCAGGCCACCCTGAATTACTATTCAGGAAACTGTTTTCCTTTTCTGCACACTGAGGAGGCAGCTAACTGGGGAGGTGGCAATTTGAGGCCCTTAGCTGGCCATTTGTTGACCAGCTTAATAACTGCCAAGTTGAGAAAGATGCACATGGGTCTTTGGTCCCATAGCTTATTAATGATGTGGCAAGAACAAAAAAGTTTTTCTCCAGGGCCAACTCGCCCCATTATTCCCCCTTTTAACCATTTATCTCCCTACCTCCAGGAGGGGAAAATCACATTTGTGGTAATTATAATGCTGTGTGTTAAACCTCCACACTTTAATGCTCTTGAATATGTAGTTGACAAGTGACTATGGATACAATTCCTTTAATGTTAATATATGTTTGTTAGGATTTTGTTCATTACTTGACCTGTCATTTTGATTTCTCTCTTTCTCTCTCTCTCTTTCTCATAATCAAAGTCATGATTGAATGGTTACATGGTGGCAGAAGTTGGCAGTCTGTCCTGAGCTTCAATACTAGTGCTAAATTTCTTTCCAAATTGCTCGAGCAGTGCTGTTTTTAGGCTATTTTCTCCAAATCTCAAAATTGCAATCCTCCTCAGCCCGTCCTCATAAAAGAAGTTCACTGTCTGAAACATCAGTAACTCTCGCATTTCTCGTGGTTGTTATTATCATGCATACTTACAGATATTTTCCCTTTGAAATGCAACCTGTCCTTAACTTGTGATAAATTTCTCCTCTGTATTGAGCTTTCCAGAGTTACAGAGGTATTTTTGCCCTGTTGCTTGACAAGCTTAAATCTAATAAAAGCTGAAAGAACTGCAGATACTGTAAATCAGAAACAAAAACAGAAGTTGCTGGAAAATGTTTTAGGTCGAGTGAGGAAGGGTTACTCAAACCGAAATGATAACTCTGATTTCTCTCCGCAGATACTGCCAGACCTGCTGAACTTTTCCAGCAATTCCTGTTTTTGAAGCTTAAATTTATGGTCTGCAAAGCACAATTAAAAATAGCCAAGCATTGCCTCTTTGTAGGGTTGGGGAGGGCAGGGAGGAACAATCCCTGCACCTGAATGATGGAGCCTGCTTCAATATTGAGTGTGGATTCCATGGGACTTGGAAGTTGCATTGTGTTGCTGGCAAACACCAGTGGGCCTCTAGGAAGTAGCAGCAGCCCATGGGGGAAACAGGCAGGATGCAGATTGGGTGAAGTGTGATCATACTGTGAAGGGTGTCAAACATGTCAAACAACTTCAATCCTAAATATATGAAAGGTTGACTCTTGTTTCAGGTAAGAGTGCTGCCTGTTTATGTTTTGAGTTTCACAGTTATAGTGGTTGGGGCAATTCTGGAAGGTGAGTTCCTGACTGTTGTATTGGAAGCCTTGGGTGCTGTTTCGCCCATGAGAAAACGGCGATACTTCACTATATATAGACCAGTGTATGTCAGATGTATATAAACAAAATGATGATTAAAGCTTGCCTGCCTTACCCAATTTATTGAAATTACCCCAAGGTTCCTCGTTACGTGTTTCTTTACAAACCTAAACGACAGACTATTTATGGATTTTATGCTGCTGTTCATGATTATTTGATTTAGATTTTAAGCTCAGTTTACAAACCTTTGTATTGAATCAACCTGGCAACTTTCCAAGTTAGTTACTGTGTAAATGCAATGGCTGAATTTATGAATGGGTTATTTATCTTATAATTTCTAGCAATGACAATATCTCAACCATCTGGGAATCACTGGAAGAGCCTCATATCCAAGATGCTGAAGAATTTGAAGAACTCTTCTCCAAAGCAGCAATGAAAGAAGCGAAGAAGCCATTATCAGACAGCTACCAGAAGACAAATAAGACAAAAAAGGTTAGATTTACCTCACATTTATTACCAGGTATAGAATTAATTTTACCATGGATTCTTGCCTACAGAAACTGTAGGCTATCTTCAAATTAACCAATGCTAAGTAGCAGTCAACATTTTTAAATTGTTTATGATAATCTTTAGGACACTAGCAGGATATAGTTACGTGTGATGTTAGATTTCAGTCACAGACATTTCAGATTTAAATCCATGGATTTGAGGCCTAATATTGCACAGAGAGATTTTACTTCCTTGCATTTTAATATTTAAATGTACATTGTTGGGTGAAAAAAATGCAGTTGTCATGTTAGTGCATGGAGCACTTGGTCACATGGGAGTACTGCTAAGTGCCAGTACATACGGAATTAGATGCAGGAAGAAAGTACCATTTCTACTCTGTCTGAATAATGTACGTTACCCTCCCAACCCCCGCAACTCAGAAGAGTAACCTCCACTGAGCCACTGTAGATTTTATATTTCCTTACATCCTGTGGTCTCCTTTATGTCAATAATAGCAAATATTTGCAAATTGTATTTTTTTGTGGGCCTATATTCTCTAGAAACCAATTTAAAATGAATAAATTGATTTTTTAAAAAAGTAGTTCGACAGCTAGTAGGGAGATGAAGCGGTCAACATTTTGGCTGGGTGTTAGACCTAACTTGATTGCTAAATATGTCTTGTTTTTACTCTTTTGTTTTGTAAACAAATACAAATAATACTACTTAATGCTTTAGAATGTGTGTATGTAGAGAAATGTAAATTGTATACATAGAGTTATTTGTGCTTTTGTTGGCTATAATGGGATTTTAAAGAATAGGCCAAGAAAAATGCTTTATTTTTGTGTAGTTAACGTATTGGACTGCACACCATCTTTTATTCTGCATAAGTGAATAGGAAATTCTGGTGCAACTGCAAATTTTGATTCACTTTTAAACAAAGATAAAAGTAATAATGTTTTAACAATCTATAATTACAGTTCAGTAACATCTGCACTTTTAAGAAGGTTGTGATTTTGAAGTATAAAGAGGAATATTGCATTGCATGCAGGATTTCACTAAATAAATCAAAGGCGGCATTTTATATTTAGCAGACATAACTAATTCAGAGCATAAGGTTTTAAATTTGATCAAGATGAATCTTATTCTCTCATCTTGGATTGTGATATTATGACTGTGTAAGTTTATTTTAATTCAAATGCAGATGGTCGAGGGTAAAAGTTATGTAGGATCGGGGAGCAGGAATGAATGAAGTGCAATTAAAATAGGTCCATTGTGACCCACAGTTGACCTCAGCTTAACTGAGGACGAGGGCATCATTTAAATATTTGGGACCGGTATCAACATTTATAATGTCACATAGAGGCCATCATGTACTATGACAAAGGTGCAAATCAGATGGATGACATCTGGATTGGACGAGAGAGGAGAAACAATCTAATTAAGCTGCTTAATTCCTCTGATATCTTTACGCCGATCCACTTGGAGCCCACGGCACAAATACAGAATTATACAGCTGGCAATCAGTTTTGAAAGCCTAAAGACCATGAGCAGATTTTCTGGAGGAGTTCACATCCTAAGTAAACACTGTTTGCCAATCCCATTGGGCATCCTCTTGTATATTGTTCGCGGGAATTTGAAGGAGCACCATAGGGAACTCGAGGAGCTCTTAATAAGAGGCATAAAGCACATGCTATGAAAACTCTGTTTTTGACTCCTTAGTATCATATCCAAAATAGGAGAAGTGCACTCTCTCCCTCTAGTTCCTCCACTCCGGTGGTCACAACACAAATTTAGATACTCCGCTCAGCTACCAAAATATTCAGTTATATACTATATCTATGTAGAATTTAAAAAATCATTTTATGGAATTGAGACTTATTTTGAAAAGGTATTAAGCTAATTAAGACTGAGTTTGAAAGATGGAAGTATCGCTATCTACCCTCCTAAATAGACACACAAACAAATAGGAAAATAGATTTCTCTGTAGAAATGCATTGTGAGAAAAGTAACAGTTTGACCAATAAATGTAAGTTCTTGAAGGCAAAAGGACGAGGCGTGAAATATTCAAAAGGCTATTGGACTGGTGTTCTGACATATGCGGACAGGTCACTGGATAACTAGAGCTGTCTTTCCGATCCCACTGAAATGATTTGACTAACACTCCGTATTTAACCCCACTCCCAAGAGGAGGATAAGCAAGTGCAGGCATGTCTTCTAGTAAGAACGGTAGAGGTGAATGTGATAGTGAGAACGAGGGAGAAGGAAGCCTAGGAAATTTCCAGATCGAGTCTCCTGATATCTGGTTAGCTAGCATTGAACTATTACAGATGCTCGACACCATACTTTCACATCTATCTGTAGAACAGCAAGTTAATCTATAATAAGGCTGCTCACAGAATTTAAAGGAGGCTTTAGAAAGAAACCAGGGTGTACAACCTTTGCCAAACATGATGTGGATGTAGGAGAATCCTCTCCCATAAAACAGCATCCTTATCACTTCTGTCCAGGGAAAGTGGCCTAAAATGAGAACACAAATGAAAACCCACCTAACTGAAGTCAAACAAAGAAACTGGCAATCTCCAATTGCATTAGTGCCTCAGGCTGATGGTTCAATCTGGGGTGTCAATCAAATAATTTACTTGACCTATCCTTTTGATTCCTCCATATGGGACACTGAACCATGCTCCTTGTGATTCATCAAGTAAATGTTTGGTCTTGACATGTTTGTCTGCCCATGTATTCATGATTGTGAAGAAATGTCCTCAGTTGTCCCTGAGTCACCTGTTAGTTTCTCGTGATCGGCACCCAGAACATGGTTATATAATCTAAAATGCAAGATTCATCACTTTCTTTCAAGGGACCTGTCATCTCACATCTATAAACTAATTCAAAAAGACTGAAAGTTATCAATTGATTTGGTGAATCTCAGGTAGCAAGGAACAAAAAAAAGCCCAGCCTTTTGTTCTAATCATGTTCTAATCTAATTCATTACAGTATTCCCTGATCATAATTTTGAGGGTTTGATGGTACTGTTCCAAAGCCACTTGTGGCTGTGGGTAGTATGCTAAAGATTTTAACTGTGTCTTACTCAGATTACTTGTGGCTTCAGAAAAATTTTAGATATAAAATTGGAACCTTGATCCAATAGTATGTCTATTGGTAATCCATGCTGAGTGATGAAATGGGTTAGATTTTCTACCACCACCTTTCAAGTTATTGTTCTCAAGGGAATGATGACTGGGAATTGATTGTCCGTAATAGGAAGGATGTATTGGTATCCCACTTTTGCTTTCAGTAAAGCTTCACCCAGTCTACTAATACCTTACTAAATAGTTTCCTGAAAACTAGTCGGGAAGTTGATCGTTGGCTGTGCCACATATACCGGGCCATGTATGGCACATCTTTCAATACTGCATCATTTTGAAATCCTGGTCCAATAGAAATATTGAATCACATGTTCTTGGGTCTTCCAGATTCCTACATGTCCCACCATAGGAATTTCATGAGCTAGCCTTCATATTTCTTGATAGCATTTGGGCAACACCATTATCTGCCTACTTTTCATCTACAGGTCTGTGAGGATGTCTCCAGTTGCTCTTCGCATCCCTATCTTAATATAGTAGCATTGCAGAACTCCTTTGCTTTCAGTTTCAGTTTGTGCTGATTATGGGATTTAATGGATTGGCCAGCTGAACCTTGATATAGAGGTTTATTGAACATCTCTTTGGGTTTATCCAAATCCCCAAAGTATGTTTCAGACAGCCAAATACCTGCCAGTGGTGCCAATTTGTCCTTGATCTCACCTGGCCTTTCAGTAACTACGAGAGATGCTACTGCCCTTGAAATTTTGGGCCAGTCATGGTTGCAAATACTTGAATGAAGTGCTGAACTCCACCATCACTGAGGTTGGAACCTTTACTGAGCCTTTTCTCCCTGTTAATTGTTTAACTGTCAGCCACTAATCACAACTGGATGTGCAAGTCTTGTATCTGATCTGTGAATGGTGGCATTGCTTATCTCTTTTTATCACATGTTGCTCTCCCAGTTTGGCACACTACTAATCCTGTGTTACAGCTTCAGCGGTTGCCACCTCATTTTTAGATATGCTTAGGCATGGTCTCCTGCATTCACCTTTGAACATGGATTGATCTAATGACTTGACAGTAATTGTAGATTGGCGATTTTCTGGGCCACAAGGTTACATATTGTGGTCGAATACAATTTTGTCTGCAGTGCCTCATGAATGCCCAGTTTTGAATTGCTGGATCTATTTCAGAATTTATCCCATGTAGCACAATGGTAGTGTCACGTAACACAATGTGAAAATTCTCACTGTGAAGATGACAAGGACTGTGCGATGGCTCCTTTTACCAGTACTGGCATGGACATATGCATCAATGACAGATATATTGGTGAAGATGAGGTTGAGTAGGTTCTTCCTCTTATTGGGTCCCACAATGCACTCATGTTGTCATGTTTCTTGTTGTTTAAGAGAAGTGCCTGTTCTCATAAGAATCAATGGTGGTTAATCTGCTAGCACTACTGGTTAGATAAGCCCTTAGATACAGCATAGAAAGGAGGATTGAGACTCTTGTGGTACGGTTATAGTGTCCCTATTTTGGTGCCAGGAGGCCTGGGTTTAATTCCCACCTGCTCCAGAAGTATGTCATAACATCTCTGAACAGGTTGATTAAAAATAACTGGGAAGGATGATTGGTGGCAACAGTCTAGCCCAACCACAATTATGAAGCCGCAAATGTTAGAAAGGAAGATTTTGTTGAGTTGTCCAGGCAGGTGGTCATCCAGTTGCACTCCTTTAGAATTTTCTGAAGCAGTTTGATACAACTGATTGCCTTGCTAGGCCATTTCTGTGGAGATTTAAGAATCAAGTATAGTGCTGTTGGTTTGAAATCATGTGTAGGCCAGATCAGGTAATCTTCCTTCCCTAAAGGACAGTAGGAATGTTTGTACAACAATGCTTTATAATCATCACTAGTGGTATT